AACACTATTTCTCTATGATCAGTTTCAATTAATGTCTGAAGAGCTGCTAACAAGACACTAATGAAGAAACTCTTCTACTAGAGCATGTTCTTATCCTGCTGACATTTCTTAGTGTTAACACAGAAGATGACCGTGCTCACAGCCAACTGAAGCTCCAGCACACATGTGACAGCTCAAAGGCAGGAACTGTTTTTGAGAAATGCTACATATTTATTCCAGGGTCTCAGAGCAGCTAGAAAGGAGTGTTCTACATCCACAGTAACAGCTCACTAGGGCCGGTGCTTAAGTCTTTCCCAGACAAGACCCAAAGAACAAGCAACATCTGTCATGAGGGATTCAGAATCTTGCTGCTGGATAAACTCATAATTAATGGGAGTCCCTCCAGAAGAGGACCAGGTCAGACCGAAACAATTACCACGTAGCAGCTGTTGGGTGTCTTCTGATTAATTCTGCCGACAAGACCAATGTCAAAGCCATCACTGTCAACGGCAACTAACCAGAAAATCTGTTTGTAATGCATCAAAAGCAATTTACTGCTCAGTGCTCTGCTGAGACAGCAATCAGCACACTTTAAAAAAAAAAAAATTGTATAAAACTGAATTTTGTTTCAAGCTGCATGATTTTCAAAAAGCTGACTTGCAAGTCCAAGCACAAAAACCAGCTCTGTTCTAAGCTACATTTCTGCATTTGTTTTTTAAGAGTATTTCTTGCAAGTTTGTGTCTTAATACTCTCCTCCCTTCCTCTTCTTATTCTATTTCACAGTGCAAAGAAGACCTCTTATGGTATTTGTACTGCTTCTGTTGAAACAATTCCTATTGCTTAAGATTAGAAACCTCACTACAAAGACCTCAAATTTTACTCAGAGCTGCTATTGCAAAAGCTTACACATAGAACTTGCATAAATACACAGAGCAAGGACTAAAATCTATCCCTGCATTTCCAGAATAAATTAGAGACTTCCCACAGCATATGAGAACAGTGCTCAAAATCTCTGTTTTATTAAAGCTGCTAAGTGGCAAATGTGCTTAGTTTAACAAAAAAACTATAAAGGGATACCTCCATAATTTGATTTGAGCAGGGCTAACGCTCAGCTCTTCTTATTACAAATACTATGACTACTTATGTTTGGTGTTGCAACCATAATTAACACAAAGTTTTTCTTACATGGGCAAGCAGTCTAATTGAAGAAAACAAATTTCCCCATAAGTAAATGCCATCACGAGGCTTTCATTTGATGTCTGCTGCCTGTAATCTAAAAGTACAGCATTATTTCTTTATCTGCACCAGAGCCTGTAACTGGTTCACTGCACATTCACACAGAGAAGCAGCTCAATGAAGGAGGCAGCAGGGGCTTGAGAATAACTGATCAAGGACTGCCGAAGTAGCAAACAGCACCACTGCTGAGTCTGCTGCCACAACCTAATGATACTGGCAAATAAACAGCTTCTGAATATTTCTGCCTTCTTGTCTCCTGCTTCAAAAAGAAAAAAGCTCTTCTCAAAAACATCCATTGGAGTAACTTGAGGTTAAAAACTGAAAAAAACCAAACTGAATAAATGGATGCAGACTGTAACTGCAGCATTTTCTCAGCTCCTGCATCATTTAACTGATCATAACCAAAATATGCAAAGACTCAGTTTCAGAAATCCAAATAATATAAAAAAAAAAGTCAACAACAATTCCAAATACCAGAAGGAAATGAGCTGAGACCAAAGGCTTCCCTTACAGAGAATATATGGTCATGCAAAGTAAGAGTGTGCTAATGGATTATTTTGGTAGTTATAACATCTGCTGCGAGCTTCCAATTCATCTCATTTCAGCATTTCTCAAGCTGTGCTTGTAACAGATACCAACAATATTTTGTTACAGAAAAAAGTTGTATTTCAAAGACTGCTTACACACTCCACTCAAAAAGCCCTCTGCGGAACATAAAAGTTCACACTATAAATAATCTGTGGTGATACAAAGCAGTGAGATCCACCCACTCATCAGGTATATCCATAAACAATGTTGAAGAATATAATCCCTCAATACCACTGGAAAAAAAAAAAAACAACAAAACAACAAGGGAAAATGAGAACTGCAACTGCCCATTCTTTCTGTAAGGAAATGTTTCCTGTTTAAACAGTTATTTTGTACTTCCACATCAGCTTTCAATGAAGAATGTAACAAAGCAAAATGCAAGTATTCAATCTTCACACTTCTTTCATTTTTCAATGGGCCAAAGTTGCTGTGGAAAATAAAATGATTACCTAACAATTCAATAGAAACAAGAGAAGCAGAAAAGCTAAAAGATACTCATTTCCATGTCTGTTTCTTTTCCTACTGCTTTAACCTATGCCATTTTTCCTGTGAAGTTCAGTACCTTTTCTATGAATCTCTTTAGCTGCCTTTGCCCTACAGGCTGCTGCAGAAGCCTCATCATGACTCACAATCACACTGTTCCTTGCTGTACAAGCAATAAATACTGATAGTGGTTTAAATTAGAGAAGACAAGGTGATGATGTTTTTTTCTGTGCAGCAAACAGATGGAGGTTTTGCCCTCTGTTCAGCACTTGAGAGACTGCGTCTGAAAGGTGTCAGTTCTGCATTCAAAAAGAAACCCTGACTTTCTGGATGGTGCACGCAATCCAGGAGAGGCCACCACAGCTGGCCAGGATGCTGGAACCAGGACCTAAGCAGACAGCCTACAAGAAGTGATTTTGTTCAGGCTTTGGAAAAAGGTGCCTCAGAGAGACCAGAATGCTAAAGGAAAAGGAGACAGACTCTTCCTGGATGCGTGGAGAAAAAATTCCAGTGGTCACAAGCTGCAACAAAGGAAATTCTAAATAGACACAAGGAGAAAAAATTTCCACCCTGAAGGTTGTTTAACACTTGGACCTAGAGGCCTACAGTGCCTGTGCAACCTCCAGACTGGGAGATGTTCAACACAGTTCTGAGCAGCCTGGTCTAGCTGAACCAACTTTGAGCAGGGAGTTCAATTAGATGGCCTCCAGCAGTCTTCTCAAGGCAAGGGAGACATTAGACAACTTTCTGAGATTTTTTAAAAACATTTCTCACTATTAGATCTCAAAGCGTTAGACCTGAAAAGCAGCATTTACAGATGTCAAAACTGAGAGAGATCAAGAGAAAGATGAATTAATTTTCACTAAGTCAACCAGGAGATGTTGTTTTTGTTGAAACAGGAATGAGTTTAAGGAGATTATATTCTATGATCCCCTCCTCCAATAGCCCCATTGTTTTTCCACTTCAAGGAACTTCTACATTGACATTACCCACTGCATTACTGATGAAAAACTCCTTTTACCATCAGTGATGTATTTGGGTCATAAATTCCACCCTACCAGCAAGGGAACAATCTGAATGACAGCTTGGTTAAACTTCTCTGTGCTGGTTTGTAACAAGAATTTAGTTGTTTAGGCGCCTGTGGCATCTTAGCTCTGCATATTTTGCTCACCAGTCTCTGTTTACCCTGGCTGACAATAAGACAGTAAGCCACTGTCCAGCCCTTCCATCTTTCCAACTGTTTGGGAGCAACATACAGTCATCTTTTATTTACTTACACAGGTCTACCCAGCAGTTAAGAAAGAGTGGTACAATGTTACCAGGTCAGGTGAACAAGAAAGGATTAGACTTCCTCTACAAGAAGTAAAGTCCCTACAAATTCACAGACACGTTCATAATTTCATTTCTTCTTTTCCTCATTTTCATAGTTTATAGCTACAGTTGTATTCCTTCTGCTGCTTCCAATGATTCAGAATTTCTGAAACTATAAAGCTATGCAATATACTACATTCCCCTATGAAGTAATGTTTTCTTAAGACAATTTCTATCTTCTCTTGTTACCTGCCAATCCTTGTTCAACTTTCTCCTTACCTCATCATAATCAATTATTTAGTGATATTTATGACCTGATTTGTGCAGGTAGCCCTTCCAGTACCCTTATTCTTAACATGAGATCTAACTCATAGAATAACTTGGGTTGGAAGGGACCTTTAAGCCTATCCAGTTCCAACTCACTGCCGTGAGCTGGTTGCCCCCACCAGATCAGGCTGCCCAGAGCCCCCTTCCCACCTGGCCTTGAGCAGCTCCAGGGATGGGACATCCATAACTTCTCTGGGCAGCCTGAGCCTCACCACTCCCTAATTAAAGAATTTCTTCCTAATATCTAACCTTTATATATGTACTTCATTTATTATTTTTACTCCCCCATCATTGGGGAATTGAAATTGCTATTAAAAAAAAAAAGGAAAAAAATCATAAATGAGTAGATAGCCTTCTGCTACATGCTATGAAAACCTGATCACCAGCACAAAATGACATTACTCAAGTCTGAATCAAACCCTGAAAGTAACTTAACAAGTTATCAATAAAGAAAATGTGATGACACAGTATTTTAGAACCTTGAAAATGAACAGCTGTCAAGTGACACCACTGACTGAAGGTCAAAACAACTGGGTCACACAGACTTACTATGGAGTGAATATAATCTCTAAAGCTCCTGAACTCTCTCTCAGACTTATGTCATTATTCCCCATAACAGTATGCAGTTCATCACTGTGATGGTCACAAAAACATTTTGTCCAATATAACAGCACTGAAGGCAAACAGAACCCAATTATTTTGTGCATTCTGTTTTGAAAGCTTCAGTAATCTAGAGGAGTAAACTTCAATTTGAATCCACAAACACTGCAATAAATGAACTAAATTATCAGATAACAAAACTATCTTGAAACCTCCTCTGAATTTTTTTAAGGACAAAATAACAAACGCACAAAAACTAAACAACATAATAGAGATTTTTGTTTCTTATAATCTTTCTTAGCCACGATAACCTTACACAAGCCAGCAAAATGTTTGTCACCAAAAAAGAATCACGAACAGTAACTCTAAACACAGAAATGTTTTAAAGGACTATTTTCATGTTGGTTGCAGACCATCCAGAGAAGTAATGGTAAAAATATAACTTCTTCTATTTAACCTGGGCTATCTGGATTACCTGTTTTTCTTCCTCTGGCATATCTTTTTCCAGTTCTATTAAGTACTCCTCATCCAGTTCTGCCTGCTTCCTTGTGTTATTCTCATCATTCTGTGAATTTCCCTCATCATCCAGTACAGGCTCTTTCATCTCAAAGGAGTCACGACAGTCATGGAAACACTCATCTGCTGTGATGGGATCTTTGGCTGAAGATGGCATATCGCCACTTTCCATGTTTGGAGGATTCTGGGCATCTTTGGGGCCAGATGCCCATGAGCCGGTGCTCTCTGCTGACTTCTCATCAGAAAGCTTTAAGTGATCAAGCAATTCTTCTGGCGGATGTCCATTTTTCACCTCCTCCATGTCAGACTCCTTGGTTTAATTTATAGAAACAAGAGAGATATAACCTTCCATTAGCTTAATACAAACATCTCGACAACAAATACTCAAAGTGCTTATGGATACACCTAATAATAACCGATACCATCCTAAGGAAGCCATAATTCCTCCAGAAACCATCACCTTCCACGGTAAGGCAGATCTAACGCACGCTTTTTCAAGACACTGCAGAACTAACCGGGGCCACCGCCGATCCCACACCCGAAGCACGCTCCCGGGGCGCTCAGTGCCGGCCGTGGCACAGCAGCAGGCCCCAGGCACGCTCCCTGCCAAGCCGCGGGCCTCGAGGCCCCCGCGCCCGGCTCCAGGCCCGCGTTTCCCACACCTCAGCCCAACCCCGCCTGCTGAGAGGCGGCTGTGCCGAATGCTCCCCTCCAGCCCCCCTCGCGCCGCTCCGGGTCCCACACCTTCCCTCCCGGCCGCCGCTGCTCACCTCTCACCCTTCACCTCGCGGACCGCTTCCTGTTTGCGCCAGCCAATAGGAGGGGCCGCGCGCGGGCTGCCGGGATTTGTAGTCTCGCGGGATGCAGCGGGAGCGGGCGGCGCTGCGGTGCGCCGCGCGACTGTTGGGTGCGCGCGCGGCGTCTCCTCAGTCTGAGGCGGGTGCGGGCGGCTGCTGCGCGGTTACGGCTTCAAGTGCGCGCGCCCGCGTGTGGGGGAGATGAAAATTACAGTGCAAAATGAAGCCGTGCCGTTTGGAAGGGGCTGGAATGCCATTTTAAACTCCTCTGTCTGTGGGCACAGGGGTTTAGGAAAGGTACATCCTGAGAAAGAATGGTGGTGGTGAGAGCAGCGCTGGGTGCCAGGGGTCAGCAGTGCTTCCAGGTGGTGTCAGCCTGCATGTTACCTCGTTTCCTAAAGAGAGCTGATCTGTCAGCAGAAGCACTACAGGAACCAGCCCTGCTTGGAATTCCACAGCTGTTGCTGATCAGGGCCAATGTATGACCTTGCTTCCATGTGAGACAGGGCTTTGGAGCTCCTGCACATCTGAGCTGTGGCAGCTGGGGCTAGGAATGCTGTTTTCCAGGAGCTGCAGTCCTTGGCCAGCCCTGCTGCGTGCCATCCAAAGCCTGTCTGTCACTTCTGGAACGTGTGTCATGAGTTTGCTGATCCCATGTGACGGGTATTTTTTCTTCATTGTCACATTTTTAAACAGGGTTCCTCTGCTTATTTTCTGCCTGTGTCTGCTCTGATCTGAAGACACTTGGGGGCTCTCTGAGTGATAGAAGTAAATACTAGCCAGCAATTTTGTTACTCCCAAACGCAATGTAAGGAAAGAGCTACAGTCCCCCAGAGCCTCCGTTCCTAATGATTTTTCTCTCGTGAATCTTTACTCTGGATCTAGCAAGAAGTGCAAGGTCCTAAGGTCCTAGTCCACAACAGATGGACTGCAGTTTGTGGGTGCTGATGCATCCTGAAATTAGCCTTGAGCATGCTGCAGCTCCATGAAAATCTCCAAATATCCTTCCTATGGAATTGCCCCTCAACACCACTATGAAGCAGAAGCCCAAAGACTTTGTTAATATTCCGTGAATGAACCCACCAGAAGAACCCTCTGCTTTCCATCAGGCTACCAGTCCTCCAGACAGCAAATGAAGAGGCAGATTAATTCCTTATTAGGTATACCAATACAGTCAATGTATGTAACTTCTGTCCTAAATCAGCACTTAAGAACCTTACTGTCTGTTTGTCTCACTTTCTGTTCTTTACACTTTAACATTCTTAAAAGAAGTGTTGTTTTCATTGGGTCCATAGTTTGCTTAATATTTAGAAAGTAAAGAAACAAGTTCTCTTACTGTATCTTCAAATGTACACATTTTAGTATGAAACACCCTGGAGATCATAGGGCAGTTGTCAGCTTTGATCACTAAATCTCACTTGTTCAAACACAGAACATGTTACTGCTTTAATCAAACTTTTAGGATCTCTAATTCATTGCTTTAGGCAGAAGTGTATGAATAGCTGAAGCTTATGTATATACAAAAAATGAAATCTTGTTATCATTTATTTAATCTTCTTGAGGTTAGGGGATTTTTACAAAGCAGTGATGTTTGTTTAAGTGAACACCTGTTGAAAAAAACGAGAACATATAATCCCAAATAGTAGATATGTTTGGTTAAGAGTTTGGCTATGGAAGCTTTAGCTTGTGTTGAGATTTACTCACTGTTTTGAATGGGCTTCCCTCCTGAGGGCAGTAAGGATGCATCAAAGTCCAAGGTCACTGCGTAGCACAAGTAGAACATTTTAATGCTACAACGCTTTCCACGAGCCAGATGTAAATTGAAGAGGTAATGTCAGACAAAGAGTCTATATCTCAAAACTTTACCAAAACCTTTTTCTCCTTCCCAATTTTTTTTCCCTGTTTCTTCCCAAACCCACAGCTTGCTGAAGGTGATGTAAGCTGGTGCAATCAGCTGATTCAAGCATGATGGAGTGTGTGAAAAGAAAAGCTGCAGGAAGAATGTTGGGTTGACTCTAACTTTGTCAGTAGTACTGAAAGAAAATAGGAAGGAGCAATATGAAAGACTTAAGTTCTTCTGTTTCTGACACTAAAGTTTTCTACTAGACTGTTGTAGGATCTAGAACATCTTTTACTACTTTCAAGAGAATCTTTTACAACTGTGAATGCGGTTCTACAAGTAGGGAAGTCAAGAGGGCAACTGGGAAGCGCAGAGCATTACATTCAGATGGTTAATGCCATGTTTTTAAAATTCATATTCGTTACTCTCTAGTTTGCAGCAATGTGTAATTGCTGTTTGGGAAAATAGCTCTGCTTTTTCATTAAATCTATGGAAATTCATAGCCCAATATCCTTGAGTTAATCCAAACCTCTAATGAGACCAAAGACAGTGAGACTTTGTGTTATTTTCAAGGGTAAAATTCAGTAAATCCACCAGTAGACATAACATAGTCTTAAATGCTACAGTCCAGCTGATTTTCTGCTGAACAAACTCCTGAGAGCAATGCCTCAACTAAATCTCACACCAGGACGTTGTAGTTCCACTTTTTTGGCCAGATTTTCAAGACAGTGCTGCACATAATTAGGCATCTAGTTACAGTGATCTTAGGGACAATGGAGTGATGCTTTTGTACTGAATTTCATTTGTTTGTTCATTTGTGTGATCTATATGAAAAAGCAAGAAACGTGACCATAAGGAGCAGCATTTTGAAAAATTATCCTTAAAATCTCATCCTGTTGATAATAAATAAAAGCAACTTTTTGTTTGGTAAATATTGCACTCATTCCCTCCTGCAGACTTCTGATATCTATGCATTATTATCCCTTTGAGGATAAGAAATGGCTAATTTTTCATTTCAGAAAATTACATTGGTTTTCTAAATATTTCCGCGAACTGTGACTTGTTCAAGTTCTGAGCTCCCATATCTGATGAACAATTCATGTTTATGTAGTTTAAGAATATGTTAATTTTCCTGTTCAAGTTTTAGATGATCCTAAAATTGCCTTTTCTCTTATAGCATTCTAGTTTCACATGATGTTAGAAGTGCTAATAGGGTTCAAATTAAAGCTTTCAGGATGCTTTAAATGTCGTCAGTATTATAGAATCACAGAAGGGCCTGAGTCAGAAGGGACCTTCATGGTCATCTAGTTCTAACCCCCTGCTATGGGCTGGTTATCCAACAGCAGATCAGGCTGTCCTGGGCAGCAGTGCCAGTGCCTCACCGCCCTCTGAGTAAAGAATTTCCTCTAACATCTAACTGAAATCTCCCCTCTTTTAGTTTAAAACCGTTCTTCTTTGTCCTGTCACTATTGGACAGCGATGGGACCAAAACCCTGTGTTCAAACAGCCAGGCACTTTGAAGATGTGCAAAGTGAAGTCTTCAGACACTCTCAGATACTAATATTTACTGCAGAAGGTTCATAAGGTAGAGCCAGTATGAGCCTACAGGCTGAGCGTTGTGTGTTTTGTTTTTCACAGTATACCTAAGCTTTACAGGAAGAGCACTGCAGGACTAGAGCAAGTGGGGCCTGGAATTCTGTCTGTTAAAAGGATCTTTCCACTGCAGCCTGCTTCAGGCCAGCTCTTTGGCCCTTCTGAGTGCAGCTCCTGTCAGCTAAGCATTCCTGTAGGATCCCTGGTCCTGTCTCAATCATGAAAGCAGGAAGCTTTGCTGATGGGTGAAAATGGCTAATTTACAGCCAATTTATGAAGTATATCTGCTGGAGGTAATTTGTGCTGTGTCCTAAAAGCGTGCATTACTTGAGAGAAGATCAGACTTGTGCTTCTTAAGGCAGGGATAATGTAAATGAACACGTTTACAAGGATATGTAAGGATTTCAAACCACGTGGCTGCAGTGCTGCTGTGATACCAGAGGAACTGCTGTGCCCACAGCTGGGATGCAGCAGGCTGTATGGTGTGCACCAAAGCTGAGTGCAGCATGCGCTGCTGAAATTCAGCATTTGGGAAAATATTCTCTCTTTCTTTTTTGAATATTATTGCAGTACACACAAGGTTTGCACAGGAGTTGAATCATTTAAAAATGAAGGCTGAATGAAGGAGTTTCTACTAAAAGAATTCACGTTATCTCCAGAAGTAGCCCAATTTTTCTTTAATAGTTTTTAGTCCTAAAACAGAAAACTGCATTCTCTGTTTAAAAAAAAAAAAATAAAGCAAAACCCACATAGAATAAAACTTCAAGGCATTAATTTATATGGAAACCAAATACCAACTTAAATTATAAGGAGGGGATTTTCAAAGACACTTGCAGAATTTCGTTAGCTGACTCCTTTCCCTGTTAGCTTACCAATCATAACTCCAGATTCACTGTTAACTTTGGATTGAAGTTCACTGAATTTCTAATGCGTAAAATCCAGGAGGCTTCTTGTTTGTATTACTGTATTTATGAATCTCAACTGGAACAGAAATCCAGCAGGTGGCAGTGTTGGATTTCCGATGTCCAGGTCCCTGTTCCTGTCAACGTAAACCTCGTGTTATTCTCATGGAAATCAAGGCTGAAGATCCCACTTAATAAAATAGCGCAGGGCTGAGCCCTAAGCTAACTAAAAGAATAGGGATGAGCTGTTCCGTAATTACCTCAGGCCCCAGAGCAAATGCAACATTTATTTTTGGGGACAGCCTTTTGATCTGCACAGTGAAGAAACTAAACCTTAACAAATCAAACACAGAAAAAATAATTACAATTTTCCAGGGTTCATACAGAGTTCGAGTTCTCTGCTGGAATTAAACATTTGCCCACAGGTCTCAGAGGAATCAATTTATTGTGCTTCCCAAAGAGTATAGTAAAGAAAATTGTGAAATGGACAATTAAAGTCTTTTTAATCAACTGTAACCTAAAGTTCTACCATATCTACTTCTTAGTGTGACTTATTCAAGTAACTGTGAAGGACTCTTACTCATTTTGACTCTCTGTTCTCTTTTTAGTCCTTGTCTCGGCTGAAATCTTATAAAGAATATGGGAATTCTGTAATTAGTTGGTAGGGAT